TGTACACCTCGACGGCCGAGAGGAGAAACCCTCTCGGCGTCAAAAGTGTTCATATCCTCAACAGCCGAGAGGGTTCCTCCTCTCAGCCATTGAGAGGGTATACTCTCAACAGCAAAGGGAAACCCTCTCGGCGTTGAGAGTGTACATACCCTCAACGGCCGAGAGGGTTTCCCCTCTTGGCCGTCGAGAATGTGGTCTCAGCGGCCAGGAAGAATCCTCCCAGCCGCTGCCGTGGGGTGGGGGTTGGTCTGGTTTGGTTCATCGACCCCCAAACCCTGGTCGGTTTGGGAGGATCAACTCCCAAACCAACCGGGGGTTTTCATTTATTCTTATTTAAATTGTTAGGGAGTCGACTCCCAAACCGGTCAACGGTTTTGGGGGATTGACTCCCTATTTTCGGGGGTTTCGGGGTTTGGGAGTCGACTCTCCAATTTTGGGGAGTTGATTAGCCAAGCTCCTATTACAAAGTCTATGAAGGAGAAGAGTAGTGTAAACGTGTGTAGGGGTGACTAAGGTTAAAATTAACAGAGGAATTAATTTCTGAAGTCATAAAGTAATAAAAGATTAAGATGAAAAAGTTACAGTAGGGACTTGAATGAAAAGGAGGACTTAAGCAGTCTTTTGGCCAGCTTGGCTGGCTCTAAGGCTGAAAAATAATTGACTTCATTGTCAATTGATTTTTCAGTTTCATATTTCCAGAATATACATATAATTTATAACCAATTCAAGAAGAATATAAGGCTCAGAGAGCCAAACAAATAAACTGTCATGGAAAAGTAAGCTCAACATTGAGATTTCTAAACCAATTTTGAAACTCAATATCACACTCCAGTCTCTTGTCTTCAGCTTGTCCTAGTCATACCATAACCCCTAACCCTACTACACTCTCACTCCGACAAACCTAACTCCCTTCACTTGACATCACTTGAAGACTAAATCAAACTCAATCTGATCTGGTCAGCACCTCTCTCTATTTGGTCAACTAACCTTCTCTTATTGATCTAGCCTCTTCTATGGATCCTGTGTTCTTCTTTGATTTGTGTTGGCTCACCTACAGTTGTCTTCTTCACTTCTTTCATATCTTGGTGGTGAATATATTTTCTTTATTGATTTTTTTCTCAGATGTATTTTTTGAATTTGTTTGTTTTGTTTCTGATCTCCAGTTCTGGGTTAAATTTATAGCAGTAAAATTGTATCAAATTTCTGGAGTTGACATACAATTTTACAAAGGCACCTTTGTAATATTGTATGTCGACTGTGAACATGTATGTGGCTTTTTCTTGCAGTGAAGCTCACATGCAGCTTCTAATTTGATTGTTGGGGAAGATCTGAAGTTAACCAATCCTCAACTCACATCAAAAACATCAAACTACTCCAAACTGGGTAGAAACCACTATCAGCATTGGTTCAAAGTAAGAAGAGAAGAGATGCTTTTTTTTTCTCTTTCTTTTTGGTCATTATTCTCATTCAAAATCTATTGCAATTCAAGGGTAAATTGAAGGTAGAACAATGTCATTTGAATGATCACTGTCCAAAATGAAGTTTTTTGGAGATGAGATTGAGATGGAAGAAAGTGGGTAGAGTCAAAACCTTTCTAAGAGCATACCCCCCTGGTGAGAAAGTATGGGTGGGCAGGGGTTCTGCTTTTAGGTCCTTTCAGATTGAAACAGAGAAAGACAAACTGTTCAAAGTTTGTTCCTCCTGGAAAATTGAACCAGTGATCTTCTATTCAATAAATCAGAAACCCTTATTCAAGCTGAGCATAACACCTGTTATTTTTGTTGACCTAGACAATCAATTGTTTCAAAATTGCTTGGGTTATACTTGCTCATGAAAAGCTGACATGTGTATGAAAGCAAACTTATTTTCAGGTAAGGTGTTACACCATCATAAATTTCAAAGCTTTATGCAGAATATTCTAGCAACAACTATGGTGTTCAAAGTTGAGTATGCAAATAAAAATGCATGCATGCATATTTCATGAATACAAATTATCAACTCTTGATTGAAGAGAGACTTGAAAATCTGCTCATGTAATCTGGAGCTTTCCCAGCAAACAAGATTGAATGATTTATGAAATATACATGCACAATTGTTTACAATATACTCAAATTTGAACACCATAGACAAAGACAAGTAATGAGGACCTTGTAGGTGGATTTACTTGTGTGCCCATTCAATGTTGTATACATTGATGCAGATTTTGTGTGGGTACAGCACTATTGAATGGTGCCATGAATTCAGGTGTTAATCATTCTTGATGATATCATACTTCTTTTATTCTTGAATTGATCAAATCAAGACATGCAAATCCAGAGAGACAATGGCTCTTGTATAAAGTGGATTCTGCATTGAATCAGTATTTCATTTGTGATTTCTCATAGTGTCTTTTGATCTACTAGATACAAGAAATGTAAGTTGAACAGTTGTAAAGTTGTGGGTCATCTAGTAGTACATACATGATTCTTCTTCTATTTTTACACAGGTATAGACTTTGAGAAGTGTATTGAAGTTGGTACAAAGAAAGTAAGAAGAAGAAGAAAATGATGATGATGAGAGTGAGAGTGAAAAGGAAAATGAAACAAAATGAAAGAAAACTGTTCTCAGATATAAAAGGTGGACCGTTTCTGTTTGGCAGGAGTGGATTTCTCAGCTGAGTTGTCGATTGGACCGATCTTGACGTTTGAAAATGTGACTTGGGAATCTGGTTTGCTGTCCCGAAGAGGTCCTGGATCGCCGGAATTAGGGTCACAAGGTCCGCGTTTCACGCCATACTTGTCAGCAGAGCCATTTGGAGGATAGATACCATCAAGCCACTGCATCTTGGCCGTTGCGTCGTCCCATATACTCAGCACAAGAACCATGCCGTTCTTCATTGCCTCTCCCATTGCCTTCATACCCCCACGATCCTTGAAGGAGTCATGATCTCCAGTGGCAGCCTTGTTCGCCTGACAAAATTGGTCGGTCAACGAGTCTGCAGGTTTATCAAGTCCTTTAACTTTGACGGCTTCGTTCTTGATGAGATTCCCATTCTGACGGTACATTCGACGGACTTCGATGAGCTCTCCATCATCGGTATTGCCTTTGGTAATGAATTGGGTGACGACTGTGAACTTCTTGCTGGTATCCACTTTCTTGCCTTGACCGTAGAACTCTTTAGCACCCCAACGATAAGAAGCAAAATCACAGCCATCCTTGTCGCAAAACCCATTGTATCTGCTTGCACTCGTAGCTCCACATTGATCACCAGTACATACCGCCGCTGTTAGGGATTTGCAGGTATGTGAAGTGAATGCCTGGGCAAATGAATTTGCTTCCCAAATGTCCATTTCAGGACAGCACACTCCCATATCACCTGCTCCTACATTGGCTCCATCACCTTTCCAGCCCTTGTTGTTTGCCTAAAATCATATATAAGGGAGTAAAACTCAGTTGGCATTCAGTTGATCATCGATATGGCTGGCAAAAATGAAGACTGACTTTTCCATTGATCCACTTGATATCTTTGGGGCATTGCGCGTCACAATAACCAGTGCCATACTTTGCCCCTGCCCCATTGGTTGGGTTTTTTGACTTTCCACCATCCTGTTCCATGGCCGTAAAGTACAGAGCTCCATTGACACCACAAGGAAGATTGGACACATCCACATCAAACTCGAATTGCTTGTTTTTCAGCTTGAACATGTGGTACTTTTCGCCGCCCTGTTCGAGGAAGTACATCCTCGAACCAGCATTTTTACCATTGTCATTCTTGGTTACATATTTCAGAGTCACACCATCTTTTCCATCGCCTTTGACACCGTATGTAGCGTCATAGTCTCCGGCACCTTCGATCACTACAAGACCAAAATCAATAAATTAATAATCAGTAAAACATTGAACCTGTGAAAAAAGATGAAATAGGGAGTGGATTGTTGGAAGGAAATCATGATTTATATATAAAAACTTACCGCATTTTTTTGCGCATTCTTCACCGGTGCCTGAGCAAGCTTGAGTCCAGGCGCTCCCGTCGTAACATTTCTGGCCTTCCTGATCCTTATCATGTGTCCAACGCCAATTGGCATCGATCGTCAGGCCACCAGAAAGATCCTTGCAGTTTGATCCACTTGCACACTCTTTTACGATGAATGGGACGGGCTTTTCAGGCTTGATTTTGCCTGCATTCTGGGCATAAGATGAGGAAAGGGATTGCAGAAGCAATAACAAAGAGAACAGATCCATGTGAACAGAAGAGCGGTCCTTGTTAAAATCGAAGAATATGTACAAATTTGAGAACAGTGAGAATTGTGTACTTTTGTAGTACCTGAACGATGTGGTGACTGAGAAAACTTACAGCAAAGATCGCGGCTATTTATGGCCTGGAAACTCCCGCAAACCAATCCAAGCAAGCTTAGTGACAGGCTTTTTCCGAAGGACTGCAACTCAAATGAAACTTGCAGGTGATGATAATAGCTCAACAGACCCGTTGACAACAGTTTCAGCATTTGGGGGAAAGCGCTATCGACACTCAGGTTGGTAGAGCCCGAGTATGATTGGAAACATCAATAGCTTTACGTCCATAGGAGTGTCCCATCGAGCTGCAATTCCTTAGAGGCTCGGAGTGAACCGGGGAACTTTCAGGATGAATGGATCGAAGATTAATAACAGTCGGCCCGGTAGAACACTGTTTGGTTGCGAACATGAGCAACATAAAAGACGGACGCTCGGAGCGGTAGTCATCATCAGACACGTCCAAGGGGTCCTCCAATTCACAACCAACGTGAGATTCATGTGGTCGTTATGAGTTGTGCTCGATTGCTGGACATCCGAAGTCCCTCGCTTCCGACGATTCGGTGCCGCTCGAGCTGTATAAACGGGGGATTGCTGGCGTAACTCCCGCCCAAGGGTTACTGCTTCGGCAACCTACCTCAACTCCCGATGTTCGGCGGGCAGAGGCCTCCGGCACAACCGACTCGATGAAAGAATCCCGGTCAAGCTTTTGTTACACACCCCGGATGCAGTACATAGGTCGTCAAACGACCGTCCAAGGCCACTGTCATGCCACAGCTCTGCCCCCGCAACGACATTTACAGTCTTCTGATTATGTACGGGTTCCGTACCATTAAAGTCTGAGTACGACGCCTTCAGGCTTTTGCCGTAAGATCTGGGTGGCAAAAATCAAGCATCCCTCATCTCGAATCTTGCTTGCTTGGTTGATGGAATTAAGCAGCACTTCGAAGATCCACTTCCCAACACACCCAGTTTGTTTGTGTGTTTATTCTTCTTTGTATATATGTATACAACAAAGAAAAAAAACTTATAAATTTAAAAATTTAAAATTTAAAAAGGACCTTAATAAAAAACACGGGTTTTCCGCGCTTGCGCGCAGCAGACATGGTTTCCCCGTTTGGACGTGTTTTTTGTATTAATTTTGTACACCTTATTTTTTATGTTTTTTTTTTTTTTGAAATTTTAAATTCATTAGCCCAGTTCACGTAGGGTGTTTTTATTGACTATTGACAAGTCTGAAAAGTCTCACTGCTTGTTGCTTCAACTGCTTGCTTATGTTTTGCATGGGACTTCACCACAACTTTAAGCGAGATGTCGTTGAGCGTTGCTTGTCGCAGAAATTTTATTTGTGAAGGAGCAGCTACCTGAACTGGCCTATTTCCTACACTATAAAATGCAGAGAATTTTATGGTAACATTCAACGGTTCATTTTGACTATTGTAATTAGACATATTTTTTGGTCAATTTTTCACAGCTTATTTGTCATTATTTTTTGACATCTTCAATTTATTTCCTACACTTTGAGACGTGCTGAAAATCATGATAATAATCATATTGCATAAAAATCAAAGGTTGTTTTGGAATATTGCATTGGACAGGTTTTTTTTAATGTTTTTTCAATTGATTTTTACTAGCTTAATTTTCATTATTTTTTGAAATTTTAAATTTATTTCCTACACTTTGAGAGGTGTGTGATGGTATTATTCATTTATACCTCAAGATCAAAGCTTTAAAAGTAATATATGAGCTTACCCCGTTTCTTGCATAATTTGTGCGGTATACCAATTTTATTTGTATGCAAAATGGATGTAACAATAAATTTTGAAACATTTCAAACAAAATGTTGGAAATAAATTTAAAATTTCAAGAAAATAATGCAAATGAAGAGCATCTCCATGGGAGTCACTAATTTTGGGTTGCTATGTTCTCATGATAGCAACCGGAATTCAAGGTTTGAAGACCCAAAGTGCTAAGGCATGTTGAACTAGCAGTCCGAGGGGTCATTTTCATCCCGCTGCGGCGCATCAGCTCACGCGAGCATAGTGAGATAAACAAGGTTCAAAATCTAGTTTGCAGTCGGCTGTTGTATTTAGAGTCTCATCATTTTCATTCGTGTTGTCTCTCTTTTTCTTCATCCGATTTCTTCTAGTTTTTCTCTTGCCTGTTTCTCACGCGCTACGCTCCTCATTGCTCGACCCAGGTCTGTTTGTCCTTTCATTCTTTTCTCTCTCTCTATCTTTCTCATTTCATTTCTCAACATTTGTTTTCTTTCAGGTTTGCTTCTTCTCAGCTCAGTTTGTTAGTCCACGTCAGTCGTGTCCTAACATCTTGTTTGGAAAACAAAAGGTTAGAAATGAAAATTGATCCAATTTCTTCTAGTTTTTCTCTTGCCTGTTTCTCACGTGCTACGCTCCTCATTGTTTGACCCAGGTTTGCTTCTTCTCAGCTCAGTTTGTTAGTCCACGTCAGTTGTGTCCTAACATCTTGTTTGGAAAACAAAAGGTTTGCTTCTTCTCAGCTCAGTTCGTTAGTCCACCTCAGTCGTGTCCTAACATCTTGTTTGGAAAACAAAAGATCCAGAGTTCATTAAGGCACACACCAGGCATTGTTAATAGGAAGTCGCTACCTGATGATTGGACAAGGTGGTGATGTGTGGTGTTTGGGTTTCACAGAAGGAACACAGGAGTAGTCTGTGATCCTCCTTGCATCCAGAGTTGCTATTGAGTCTTTTCCGGCCAGGTACTTCCGAAGAGTGTTAGCCGTGACAACTGGTGAGGTTGAGCTTTCGGCCGTCCTCCCCGCCCAGCAGCAGAACTCATAGATGTCGGACGGGAGGAGAGGTAGAGTGTAAGGAAGCCGGCTGGTCTCTTTCGCGAATACTTGGTACTTCTTTACGGCAGCATTGTAGCTGAGTAGGGTATTCCACCGGTAACCGAGCAGGTAGTGTCGGTCTAGAGCTGTGGGTTCTCTAGGGTTGGACCCGTTGGCTATGAGGTTTATAACCTTAGTCAAGTCGAGCATCAAGCGTTGTAAATTGCTATTAAGTCTGATTGGTAGTAGGTACACAAGATGAGGGTGGAGGTAGAGCCCAGGAAAAAGGGAGGGGGTTCTAACAAGTTGATTGGAAAAGTCTTGACTCTAAGTCTAACGGGATCTGTATGGCTAACTGAAACGCAAGGTTCCTTCCCCTCCTGTCTCCCCTAGACAGAGCATCTGCCACGTTGTTCTCCGATTTGACCCGCCTCGAAACAATGTCTATTTCCATATCGACTAGTAGCCGCTGTATCATCTTCCATTCCTCATTTACCGATGGATTCTCCGCTCTTCTCTTTGTTATCGCGCTTTCCGTGGATGTGTTATCCGTCCATACTATGATGGTCTTCCCTGGACGGATCTTCAGTTGGGTAAGGGCGATCAGCCCTAGCCTTATCGCTACCGTCTCTAGCCAGGCGATGTCTCGGCGTGGTTCGGGTCCTTTGTCCCATTGTTTAGTTAGTTGAAATTGGGCCCAGTATCGGCCTATAGTCACACCGATGCCATAGCTTGTCGATGCGTCTCCCATCCACCCGATTTCGGTCGGATCCGGATTTCTGATCATCCGAGTTTCCTTGAAGGAAAGCATTGTGGTCAGCCATTCTTCTAAGTCTCGTCTAGCGTCTGCCGGGACCGGCAAGGCTTTGCTCCGGTACACCCAAGCGTTCATCCAACGGTACAGACTGTTGAGGTAACATCGAAGTTGGGGTAGCAGGTATGAAACGTGGTTGAGGCGCCCTGCCATTACCTCTACTTGTTTGAAGGAGAACTCGGCGTCTGGTATCAGAAATTCTTTGATTTGTTGTATGCGTTGAAACTTCTTGTCGTCGGGCAGCCTGACTGTCTTGCGAGGGGCATTCCAGATGAAACCAATGTACTTTTGTTCTTCCTTGAACGGAGAATACTTGGTCGAATTTGTTTTCACTCCAAGGGTTTCCGATCTCGAGACTATTTGTTCCATTTCCACTGTCGAGTCTTGATGTTTTATGAATAAATTATCATCTACCCATCGAAAAACCGTTATCAGGTCGAACTCATGTAGCATCAATTCTTTCCAGGCGTCTGCTGGCCTGCCAAACGAGCCGCATCCGGCTACTCCGCCGAATGCAATTCTTGTGTCGATTAGTATGCCTCCGTTGAAATCTCTGACCATCAGGTAGGCCCATTGCGACCTAGCGGTAGGGATCTGGCGGTAGGCCTTCTCCCAATCAAAAACGGGCTAGCAGGATTGGTTGAGTCTGGTTGCGTAAGAACCTGG